GGAACAGATTGATATGAGTGAGTTGAGTTTTACGTCGCACTCAGGAATATTCCAGCTATATGGCGGCGGTCTGTAAATAATCGAGTCTGGATCAGACAATCCAATGATCAACAGCAGGAGCATCGATTTGCGCAATTGGGAACCGATGACATGTGTCAACCAAGTCAGAGAGCCTGACCACCCGATCCCGTTAGTCGCCTTTTACGACAAGAATGGGTTGATGAAGACCAATTCTATCCCGGACCTTCACGGGTCGATTACATGAGACGTTTACGTACTTTTAGACCCGAAATAATAATAATGTCTTAATTGATACAATTATTTTAGACGTTTGTTATATGTTCGGGTGACGTTTACTCCGACTGTGAATCCATCACTGATTACCAATCCCATATCGTGATCTACCTGTTCGCCTACGGGGTCGGTAGGGTAGCCTAGTGATATTGCTAGAATATTGCTGAAAGCGGGGTAAAACGCTCACTCACTCATCCACCCACTCATCCCCGCCCACTCACGCACGCACGCACGCACTCACTCACTCACTACGAAGTAAAAGGTTTGTTGCCATCACAACCTGACACAATGGAGGAAGTATTTTTCAACTCGGAGGCGCTAACCCACACTGATTCACTCACAACTCCATAGTACGAAAAATCAACATTGACTCTTGAAGCGCATCCATCACTGAAATTCAAGAATTTTGTTTCAGCAACTACATTCTGTTTCCGAATCATATATGAAGAGGATTAATTATCGGTGACCCATGACGATAGGGGTTAGAATTGATCTTCAGCCATAGGGCGTGCTCACGCTTAGAATAGACAGACCCTATATAGAATAGACATATAGGCACCCCCCCTCCTACCCTAAGTTACCATATAGAAGAATCCTTTTGGCCGATAGTACCAGGGTAGGTGAGTCTATATACCCATATGTCTTTCTAACGCTGTTTGGGGCGGTGGGGCTGTCAGCCTAGTGGTTAAAGCGTTGGCTCGTCACGCCGAAGACCCCGGTTCGAATCCTTTGACATGGGCACAATGTGTGAAGCCCATTTCTGGTGTCCCCGCCGTGATGTTGCTGGAATATTGCTAAAAGCGGCGTAAAACCAAACTCAGTCAGTCAGTCTAACGCTGTTTCTTAGCGTGACACGCCCTGTGTATTCAGCAACCCTTGCTTGCCGTAAGAGGCGGTCAGGCTCGCTGACTTTGGTTGACACATGTCATCATATCCCAACTGCGTAGATCGATGTCCATGCTGTTTATCACTGGATTGTCTGGTCCAGACTCGATTGTTTACGGAGCGGCGTAAAACGTAACACTACCGTATTGTTTGTATAGTAGGAGCAGAAGCAGGAACAGCCGCCGTCAAAGTGGGTGCGTTGTCCCCCCTCGTAAAGATCGTAATCGCTGTCGTGGCAGGCGTGGTTGTTAGTGGTGCCGTCATTGGGTGGCCGTCGGTCTGACTGGTGAGTGGCCAACAGCTTCCTCAGATCGGTGACTAAATATATAAAAATTAGACAAAATGCGCAACTTCCTTCCTTTAGTATAGACTTGGATAATCATAGGATTGAGACGATGGTAATCCCATACTTTAAGACAGATTGACGATAATGCTAGATCTTTCTGTGAAACACTGGAATTTAAAGGAGTTTCCACTGAAAATTTGATATAAAATGATGAAAATGTATTTAATTATAATGCGTTACTAAAGCCTACGTTGGAACAGGGAACCAGGGTAAAGGACTTCTGCCATCTATTTTCACAGAAATATTATCTGAGGGTGTTAAATAATCAATTTCGTGGACTGTTGTATGGAGGGAAACAAAGGAAGTTAAGTTTCAATTTACCATCGTTCTTGTGTTTTGTTTTCATTTTCGATTCTTATACAATATACAATTTTACCATCGATGTGAATCCTTACCCGATCGAGATCCATTGAATATTAATCATTATCGTATTGCTATCTGGTGATGAGTTTTCTTCTCTTCAGTCGGAAACAGTGGAGGCGATGTTAAGGTAGCTGGAAATTCATCAAAGGTATCCGGCACAACTGTATCTGGGCAGACGACTTCCGGTTCAAACAACGGTGGGTCAACCATAGTTGGGCAGACGACATCCGGTGCAAGCAATGGAGGATCAACTGTAGATGGGCAGACGACTTCCGGTTCAAACAACGGTGGATCAACTGTAGATGGGCAGACGACTTCCGGTTCAAACAACGGTGGATCAACTGTAGATGGGCAGACGACTTCCGGTTCAAACAACGGTGGATCAACTGTAGATGGGCAGACGACATCCGGTTCAAACAACGGGGGATCAACTGTAGATGGGCAGACGACTTCCGGGCCAAACAGTGAAGGAACGACTGTTGGTGGGCGGACCACACCCAGGCCAAACAGTGGAGGAACGACTGTTGGTGGGCAGACGACTTCCGGTTCAAACAGTGGAGGAACGACTGTTGGAGGGCGGACCACACCCGGACCAAACAGTGGAGGAACGACTGTGGTGGGTGACCACACCGACCGGACAAACTGTGGGTGGGCAGTGGAGGAACAGTGGAGGAACGACTGTGGGTGGGCGGACCACACCCGGACCAAACAGTGGAGGAACGACTGTGGGTGGGCGGACCACACCCGGACCAAACAGTGAAGCAACGACTGTGGGTGGTCGGACCACACCCGGACCAAACAGTGGAGGAACGACTGTGGGTGGGCGGACCACACCCGGATTAACAAACAGCGCTTCAACGGTAACGACACCCAGAATGGACACGACTTCAACAGCTACAACGGCAATCGTTCCACAAACAACAACGCCAAATGTCTTGTGCGCACCAGGTAAACCCTTTCTTTGTGACATATGCAAACGTGAGTGAGTGAAAAATGAAACATAAATGTAGCATCTGGATCAGGGAAACCCCTGCAGTTGTGTACACATGTTAATCCCCTCAGGAAAATATCGGTTTTACAGGATGCATCCAAAATATTGAGTATGGGCTCATTTTTAGGTCTAAAAAATAATTGATCGAGTATGGTTCCACACGGCTTTTAGCAATACAGTTGAACTATCACTCGGGGAGAAAATGGTGGTTATTGAGTGAGTGAGTTTAGTTTTACGCCGCACTCAGGAATATTCCAGCTATATGGCGGCGGTCTGTAAATAATCGAGTCTGGATCAGACAATCCAATGATCAAAAGCAGGAGTATCGATTTGCGCAATTGGGAACCGATGATATGTGTCAACCAAGTCAGAGAGCCTGACCACCCGATCCCGTTAGTCGCCTTTACGACAAGAATGGGTTGATGAAGACCAATTCTATCCCGGACCTTCACGGGTCGATTACATGAGACGTTTACGTACTTTAGACCCGAAATAATAATAATGTCTTAATTGATACAATTATTTTAGACGTTTGTTATATGTTCGGGTGACGTTTACTCCGACTGTGAATCCATCACTGATTACCAATCCCATATCGTGATCTACCCGTTCGCCTACGGGCCGGTAGGGTAGCCTAGTGATATTGCTAGAATATTGCTGAAAGCGGGGTAAAACGCTCACTCACTCATCCACCCACTCATCCCCGCCCACTCACGCACGCACGCACGCACTCACTCACTCACTACGAAGTAAAAGGTTTGTTGCCATCACAACCTGACACAATGGAGGAAGCATTTTTCAACTCGGAGGCGCTAACCCACACTGATTCACTCACAACTCCATAGTACGAAAAATCAACATTGACTCTTGAAGCGCATCCATCACTGAAATTCAAGAATTTTGTTTCAGCAACTACATTCTGTTTCCGAATCATATATGAAGAGGATTAATTATCGGTGACCCATGACGATAGGGGTTAGAATTGATCTTCAGCCATAGGGGCGTGTCACGCTTAGAAACAGAATTAGAAAGACATAAAGGTACATAGACCCTACCCTAACACTATATAGAAGAATCCTTTTATATAGTACTAGGGTAGGGTCTATATACCTATATGTCTTTCTAACGCTGTTTGGGGCGGTGGGGTAGCCTAGTGGTTAAAGCGTTGGCTCGTCACGCCGAAGACCCCGGTTCGAATCCCCACATGGGCACAATGTGTGAAGCCCATTTCTGGTGTCCCCCGCCGTGATGTTGCTGGAATATTGCTAAAAGCGGCGTAAAACCAAACTCAGTCAGTCAGTCTAACGCTGTTTCTTAGCGTGACACGCCCCTGTGTATTCAGCAACCCTTGCTTGCCGTAAGAGGCGGTCAGGCTCGCTGACTTGGTTGACACATGTCATCATATCCCAACTGCGTAGATCGATGTCCATGCTGTTTATCACTGGATTGTCTGGTCCAGACTCGATTGTTTACGGAGCGGCGTAAAACGTAACACTACCGTATTGTTTGTATAGTAGGAGCAGAAGCAGGAACAGCCGCCGTCAAAGTGGGTGCGTTGTCCCCCCTCGTAAAGATCGTAATCGCTGTCGTGGCAGGCGTGGTTGTTAGTGGTGCCGTCATTGGAGTGGCCGTCGGTCTGACTGGTGAGTGGCCAACAGCTTCCTCAGATCGTTGACTAAATATATAAAAATTAGACAAAATGCGCAACTTCCTTCCTTTAGTATAGACTTGGATAATCATAGGATTGAGACGATGGTAATCCCATACTTTAAGACAGATTGACGATAATGCTAGATCTTTCTGTGAAACACTGGAATTTAAAGGAGTTTCCACTGAAAATTTGATATAAAATGATGAAAATGTATTTAATTATAATGCGTTACTAAAGCCTACGTTGGAACAGGGAACCAGGGTAAAGGACTTCTGCCATCTATTTTCACAGAAATATTATCTGAGGGTGTTAAATAATCAATTTCGTGGACTGTTGTATGGAGGGAAAACAAGGAAGTTTCAATTTACCATCGTTCTTGTGTTTTGTTTTCATTTTCGATTCTTATACAATATACAATTTTACCATCGATGTGAATCCTTACCCGATCGAGATCCATTGAATATTAATCATTATCGTATTGCTATCTGGTGATGAGTTTTCTTCTCTTCAGTCGGAAACAGTGGAGGCGATGTTAAGGTAGCTGGAAATTCATCAAAGGTATCCGGCACAACTGTATCTGGGCAGACGACTTCCGGTTCAAACAACGGTGGGTCAACCATAGTTGGGCAGACGACATCCGGTGCAAGCAATGGAGGATCAACTGTAGATGGGCAGACGACTTCCGGTTCAAACAACGGTGGATCAACTGTAGATGGGCAGACGACTTCCGGTTCAAACAACGGTGGATCAACTGTAGATGGGCAGACGACTTCCGGTTCAAACAACGGTGGATCAACTGTAGATGGGCAGACGACTTCCGGTTCAAACAACGGTGGATCAACTGTAGATGGGCAGACGACTTCCGGTTCAAACAGTGAAGGAACGACTGTTGGTGGGCGGACCACACCCAGGCCAAACAGTGGAGGAACGACTGTTGGTGGGCAGACGACTTCCGGTTCAAACAGTGGAGGAACGACTGTTGGTGGGCGGACCACACCCGGACCAAACAGTGGAGGAACGACTGTGGGTGGGCGGACCACACCCGGACCAAACAGTGGAGGAACGACTGTGGGTGGGCGGACCACACCCGGACCAAACAGTGGAGGAACGACTGTGGGTGGGCGGACCACACCCGGACCAAACAGTGAAGCAACGACTGTGGGTGGTCGGACCACACCCGGACCAAACAGTGGAGGAACGACTGTGGGTGGGCGGACCACACCCGGATTAACAAACAGCGCTTCAACGGTAACGACACCCAGAATGGACACGACTTCAACAGCTACAACGGCAATCGTTCCACAAACAACAACGCCAAATGTCTTGTGCGCACCAGGTAAACCCTTTCTTTGTGACATATGCAAACGTGAGTGAGTGAAAAATGAAACATAAATGTAGCATCTGGATCAGGGAAACCCCTGCAGTTGTGTACACATGTTAATCCCCTCAGGAAAATATCGGTTTTACAGGATGCATCCAAAATATTGAGTATGGGCTCATATTTTAGGTCTAAAAAATAATTGATCGAGTATGGTTCCACACGGCTTTTAGCAATACAGTTGAACTATCACTCGGGAGAAAATGGTGTGAGTGAGTGAGTTTAGTATTACGCCACACTCAGCAATATTCCAGCTATATTGCGGCGGTCTGTAAATAATCGGGTCTGGACCAGGCAATCCTGTGATCAAAAGCATGGGTATCAATCTACGCAACTGGGAACCGATGATATGTGTCAACCAAGTCAGCGAGCCTGACCACCTGATCCCGTTAGTCGCCTTTTACGATAGATAAGGTTCCTGAAGTCATTCCTAACCCGGATCTTCACGGGTCCACCAGTTGGGCTTTGGTTGTACCCAAACAAATGGGAATCAAACCCGATCCTTTTCGGCATGACGGGTGTCCCAGTGGCGTAGCTGTCTTTTCGTGGTCACCAGGAGTCAATGCTGCCATACCCGGAAAACATTCTTGAAACGCATGCTCATATAACATGAGACTGACGCAAAATCGTAAATCGTACAGCGAACGCTTTTTTGGACGACGTGGCCATCCATCTGCCAGTTAGACTTGGTCTTGGACATCCGGGTTAGAATTGCTTAGTGCTTAGTGTGCCTTTAGACAAAGCCATCTTCAAAGTGTCTCTGTGTCGCCACACTTCGTTATAACGTAAGGAAACGTATGATGTCCAAGACCATATCACCGGTCGATATACTGCGTACAGAACGATATGGAATTAGTGAATATGGTTTTACGCCGCTTTTAACAAGATTCCAACAATATCACGGCGTTGGACATGATGGATGTGCCACATGATTATAGTATGTAATACGACTCCTCACCACGTAGGGGCCGGGGGGGCGGTGGGGTAGCCTAGTGGTTAAAGCGTTGGCTCGTCACGCCGAAGATCCGGGTTCGATTCCCCACATGGGTACAATGTGTGAAGCCCATTTCTGGTGTCCCCCGCCGTGATATTGCTGGGATATTGCTAAAAGCGGCGCAAAACCATACTCACTCACTCACTCACTCACCACGTAGAATCGTAATAGATTGTAAATCGTGGCACATAGTATGTAATTAAAAATAAATAACCAAAAGAACCGTCAATATTCCCGCAGTTTGACGGGGGATACAGAAAATGAATTCACACTTTGTTCCCCTGCTTGGAATCGAACCCGGATCTTTGCCATGACGAGCGAACGCTTCAACTACTAAACTACTCAACCGCCCCCTGTAGGATATGGAACTTGTTACAGTTACCTTCCGGTGTTTTTAATAGGCATGTTTTACAGATTTCCAGAGAACCGTGGTGCTAATGTACTACACCGGCAGTGTAGACCTCTTCTTCCGTGGTGGGCTCAGCGATACAAGGACGAACCCAGGTTTGTACTGTGTGTGCGTGCGTACGTGCGTGCGTGTGCGTGTGTGTGTGTTTCTGAGAGTGGGTGAGTGAGTGTGTGTGTCTGAGAGAGAGAGTGTGTGTATGTGTGTGTGTTTGTGGGAATGTGTCTGTGTGTGTGTGGAGAGTGTGTGTATTAGTGAGTGAGAGAGAGTGTGTGCGTGCGTGCGTACGTGCGTTAGTCTTTGTGTCATCCAGTAGTGCTTAATATATGCCAGGCAGTACTACATGTATGATATGACTGTTACTTACTTTCACCGTACACTTTCCAACTATTGCTGACTCAGCAAAAAGTGATTTCAGTTGCGATTGTGGGTCGATACACGTCTTACAGACAGGGACCCGTGAAGATCCGGGTTAGAAAGAATATTGATCTTCAGTAACCCATGCTTGTCGTAAGAGGCGACTAACGGGATTGGGTGGTCAGGCTCGCTGACTTGGTTGACACATGTCATCTGTTCCCAATTCCGTAGATTGATGCCCATGCTGTTGATCACTGGATTGTCTGGTCCAGACTCGATTATTTACATACCTCCGCCATATAGCTGGAATATTGCTGAGTGCTGCGTAAAGCTAAACTCACTCACTCACTCTTACAGACAGGCACAGTTAGTTTCTTTCTCGAAGCACAGATATTGTCAGGCCTTCACACGTTTCTCCGCCAAAGGTCAGGTGTGTGAAATCACTTTTTAGAGCCTAATTTGTGTTTTGGAGGCTACTTCATTTGTTCTTTCTGATCAGTTGCGATGGGGTAGTCTAGTGGCTAAGGCGTTCGCCCGTCACGCCGAAGACCCGGGTTTGATTCCCCACATAGGCACAATGGAGGAAGCCAATATCTGGTGTCCCCCGCCATGATATTGCTATAATATTGGTAAGGAGACGCAAAACTAAACTCACTCACTCTTTCTGGTCATGACAGCTGGTGGCAATACGGTTGAGTTGAGCTACACGGATGGCCAACCCTTTGGTTCGTCATCATCATTCGACAAGTACTACTATCAGACCGGTGGAGACACGACCTTGGACTGGACAGGCGCTGAGGGTGGACAGCGGCCGTATAATGGCGTAGACGCCGCTCAAGGCTCACCATCCACCAGAACAACCAACGTTGTTGGAGAAGCTGACTACTACTACCTCAACACGTAAGTGCAACCTTACACCTTGGACACATACTTTGTACATTAGGCAACTGTATTAACAGCAGACACGTGCCTTAGCAATAGGCAAATGTATTAACAAAAGACACGTGCTTTAGCTATAGGCAACTGTATTAACATCGGACACGTGCTTTAACAATAGGCAACTGTATTAACAGCAGACACGTGCTTTAGCAATAGGCAAATGTATTAACATAAGACACGTGCTTTAGCAATAGGCAAATGTATGGACATCAGACACGTGCTTCAACATTAAGCAGCTGTATTACATCAGACATGTGCTTTAACAATAGGCAACTGTATTAACATAAGACGCGTGCTTTAGCAATAGGCAAATGTATTAACATAAGACACGTGCTTAAACATTAGCAAATAAGACACGTGTTTTGTACGTCAGACACACACACTTATTTTCACTTGACGTATATTTACACTGGGTACATGCATTAATGTTTGACACGTGCATTAACGTCAAACACATGCATTGACATCAGACACGAGCGTTAGACACGCATTTAAACTTGATTTATGCATAAACGTCACACCAACAATGTCAGACACATACTTAAGATATCAAATGCATGCACATTAGGCCCTGCAGTAACGTAAGTCACAATCATATGATCACACACGTGCATTAATGTCAGATGTTTGTGTGGGGCGGTGGGGTAGCCTGGTGGTTAAAGCGTCCGCTCGTCACGCCGAAGATCCGGGTTCGAATCAACACATGGGCACAATGTGATATTGCTGGAATATTGCTAAAAGCGGCGTAAAACCATACTCACTCACTCACTCACTCACTCAGATAGATTACACGTATACAAGCTGGCATTACTCAAGTTACATGTATCGTTACCTGTGAACATCCGGGTTAGAATTGGTCTACAGCAACCGATGCTTGTCGTAGGAGGCGACTAACGGGATCGGTTGGTCTGGTTTGCTGACTTGGTAGACACATGTCATCGTATCCCAACTGCATCGATCGATGCTCATGCTGTTCATCACTGGATTGTCTGATCCAGACGACCGCCTCCGTGGTGTAGTGGTTAGAGCGTCCGCCCGGAGAGCGGAAGGTCGCGGGTTCGATCCCCGACCGCGTCCCCCCAAAAGACGTTAAAATATGGTACTTGTTGGTCCCTGCCTGGCGCTCGGCATTAATGGGTACAACAAGGACTGGTCGGCTCGGAGTCAGTATAATGTGTCTGAGTGGGGTATTCATGCTTCACTGCGGCATGGTATCTCAGTTGGCTAGCACTATAAAACCAGCTTCAGTCTGGGCTAGTACTAGCAGCCGCACATACACATACACACGCATGCACGTCGTCATATGAGCGAAATATTCTCAAGCACGACGTTAAACCCCATTTCACCTCACCTCCCCTCACCTCTGGTCCAGACTTGACTATTTACAGACCGCCGCCATATAGCTGGAATATTGCTGAGAGCGGCGTTAAACAACAAACAAACAGAACAATGTATCGTTGATCCTGATGAACAGTATGTAAATGTGATGTTAACGGATATATCTACTCTCATGTACAGGATTGGCGCCGACTACTGGGCGTGGGACACCTGTATGAAATGTACCGACACCACTGGGGGGCTGGTTCGACGTCAAAGCCTACACCGATAACTGGGAAAGTGACAGGAACCAGCCAGCAGAATGTGGCGGTACAGCCGACGTGACTGACAGGAGGAAGCCCTTCAGCAGTGGGAACCACATTGCCCGTTGTGGAAAAATCAACATATTTCAACATTCTCAAAATACGTGCACAATCAACAGCTTCAACGTAAATACGCCCATCGCATCGTAACATACGTGTTAATGTCCATTCTCATTTGAAGCATCGCTATTGATAAGCCCTAAACATGTATTTACGATGACAAAACTAGCAATGGGATTGGAAAAATGTGTTATAGTTTACAATCAGTTGTTGGCAAGGACGCACATGTACAGTATTTCGCTTCGTTTGTATCCAATACCTGATAAACTCTCATAGCAGTAGATGTAGATAGATAAGCCGCGTATTTGCGTACAGTACGCAAACTAGGGGGCATATCCCATTTAACGTACTGGAGAAACCTTTAGAGCCTGTTGATTTCAGAGGTACAATCAATGAGTCGACATATGACGTATTTCGTACCATACCAGTGAGTGAGTTTAGTTTTACGCCGCGTTTAGCAATATTCCAGAAAAAAACATGGCGGGGGACACCAGAAATGGGCTTCACACACTGTACCCATGTGGGGAATCGAACCCAGGTCTTCGGCGCGACGAGCCAACGCTTTAACCAGTAGGCTACCCCAC